ATTCTAAATAATACTGCCGTATACAGAACAGACATTCTGTACATAGGAGAGTGCATATATATATAGGATATTGTACGGCAGTTTTACTTAGAAAAACAAACCCCAATCATTACTTGTCCTCTGTTTTGTCTCCTTCCCTCAAAGATCTGATGTTTGCACTGAAGTCAATATGTGCTCCTCACTGATGACAACAGAAACCCACATCACCTAAAACGCAAGCTTGACTCCTTAGAGATCCAAGACCACAATCAGTAAAGCTGCAGCCCTATCACTAGATAGTGAAAATGTGACAGGGTATGAAACAAACAAACAAAACTAAATTCAGAATCATTTCTCACCAGCACCTGAAAGAAACACAGAAAACAACAAAATGGATAAAGATAAAGAAACTGTGGAGTGTAGCAGTATGCTTGCCGCCGCCCCCCCCCCCCACCAACTAGGAAGTTCTATTTAGATTTAAAATTAAGTAAGTAGGGGGCACCTGGGTGGCTCAGGTGATTGGGTGTCCAACTTCAGCTCAGGTCATGATTTCATGGTTCATGAGTTCTAGCCCCGCGTCGGGCTCTGTGCTGACAGCTCCAAGCCTGGAGCTGCTTCAGATTCTGTGTCTCCCTCCCTCTCTGCTCCTCCCCAACTCGTGCTTGCTCTCTCTCTCTCTCTCTCTCTCTCTCTCTCAAAAATAAAGATTAAAAAAATTAATTAAAATAATAAAAATAAAAATAAGTAGGTAATACTGTCGGTTAACTGCAACCTTTATACTTCTGATCCACACTCTGAGCAACACCAGTTGTGACCAGTTATTACAAAAACACCAACTGCAGGTACTGCAGTAAGAAGAGGTGCTGCTGCTAAAGTAAGACTTTCTCTGTGCTGAGAGGAGGCTGGGAACCGGCATCAAAGGTCAACCAGTTTAAGAATAACAAATATGTCACACGGATAAGGATATCCAGCTAAGTTTTGCAAACTGTTACACTCGAATCCTTAGCCTTAGGATCCAGTCCCCTCCCGGGGCGCCTGGGTGGCTTAGTCGGTTAAGCGTCCGACTTTCGCTTAGGTCATGATCTCACGGTTCGTGGGTTCGAGCCCCGCGTCGGGCTCTGTGCTGACTGCCAGCTCAGAGCCTGGAGCCTGTTTCAGTCTGTGACTCCCTCTCTCTCTGACCCTCCCCTGCTCGCACTGTCTCTCTCTCTCTCCTAGAAATAAATAAAATTTAAAAAAAAAAAAAAAAAAGGATCCAGTCCCCTCCCGGACACAGGAACCAAATTCAACCACCACACTGGGTCACTTTAGCCATTCTGTAGGTCCTGGGAAAGGGTCTGCCGACGTCCCTTTTACAATGAGAACACATTGCAATGGAGAGTTCTGGAAGGCGAGAGACAGCGGCAGCCGGCCTCCGCACTGGGTAGAAGGTGATTATCACTTACCCGCTCTAACGCTTCCCTGTGATCTGCAGCTATCAGCTACGAGCAGGATAAAAACAAGGTTTGTGGGTGCGTCAGGCTGGCCAGGGCCCCACACACCTGGTGCTCACGACGGAGGCCCACCCTGTTTGCTCTGATCTTGACTCCAGCATTAGGGAGCAGCTCGCAGGGTCACTGGGAACAAACTGATGGCAACTCAAGTGCGAATGCAGATAGTTCCATCACTAGACATCGGTTTCTTTTTTTTTTTTTTTAATGTTTTATTTATTTCTAGGAGAGAGAGAGACAGTGTGAGCAGGGGAGGGTCAGAGAGAGAGGGAGTCACAGACTGAAACAGGCTCCAGGCTCTGAGCTGGCAGTCAGCACAGAGCCCGACGCGGGGCTCGAACCCACGAACCGCGAGATCATGACCTAAGCGAAAGTCGGACGCTTAACTGACTAAGCCACCCAGGCGCCCCTAGACATCGGTTTCTAAAACCCCGATCCAAGAGTTGTGGCTAATTTTTGGTTGTGATTTCCTACCACTCGAAATCTGAGAGCCAGCTCTTGTAAGGGCCCCCAACTGATGCTTGAAAACTTCTACCTTCTGTGTCTCCCCCCGTCACATGCCCTGCCCATGGCCTCCCCAAGCTTACACCACGTCTTAACCCGACAGTCAAAGAGCACGACTGTTGTTTCCCTTAACAAAGGAACTTTGGGGGAATAAGCTAAAAATGTCTGGAATGAAAATAAGGGTTTTAATTTAATGAGTTACTATTTTTCCTCATCACCTCAACTGTTGTGAAGACGCTCCAGACAACGTCTAGACTTTTTCAAAGACCCTTTACACTCACACCCTCATCAAAACTCTGTGGCACTGTTTCTCAACTTCTCTTTCTTTTTCTTTTCTATTTTTTTTCTTCATTATCATCCATTTGCTCTTCAGGAGCCTTTTTGGACTGTTTTTCCCCCTTTTTTCTTCCTTTTTGTCCCCTCCCTATGAAATGCTAACACTGAAGACAGGCTGTCTTCATATATACAGGCCCGTTAGGGGACTACAAACCATTACAGTACTTAAGATTCTTTCACCCTCCAAGACCCGATTTTGCTGCCTTGGGGCAATTCTGTGACTCTTTGAGAATGCATGCCCTGCAATACTTAAGAACTTGCTGCCTTTTTAAAATTCCCCAAACTAAATACCCGTTATGAGTATTAATTTCGCTTTACTCTGTATATAACAGTTTTTTAAATCTAACCTTTCCCCCCGTCCTATTTTTGTTTGTAAAATGAGACTGACATTGAGGAAAGCATTGAGCAACCCAAATTAATCAAAGTGTGTGTGTAGATACTGTTAGTAAATTGCAAAACAGCTTTAACCAAAATATGAATAAATGGATCCAGGGTAGCTTTCGAAATGTTGATAAAACAAAGCATGTATCATATAGACCGGACAGATGTGCCGAGTTTGAACAATGAAAACTAAAAGGAAAGTATTCTTCTCAAAAAATATCATGCTGAACTTGGTTTTAGTTGGAATCTTGGATTAACAGGCAATGGTTACACACTTTTCATTTTCTGTCCTTGATGCCTTGTAAGTGATACTTGCAAGGCTAAGGATTGCAAAATTATGGCTATGAAGTCATGCAAATTATACATGGCATTTGATTCAACACAGCCTAGAGGGCATATAAAGTGCAAACGTTAACAAATCTAAAATCTCAACGAGAAGATCGTCCCCAGTGGAGACACTAATGAGTGAAGCAAAGCTGTGAAAGTTTGGTCTTGAGCCTAAACCTTTTTTTTTTTTTCCAAGTCTTAGTAAGGAAAGTCGGTGCTTTCACTAAGATGGACGGTATTCAGATAGGCACTGGTGGAGTATTCTCCACGAAAGCTTAGTGATAAAGTAACCCTGGGGTGGGGGGGCATCTCTGGCCGGGAGGGGACTCGGTGGCTTCCCCGCGCCCCTCCACAACCTACATCACTTCTATGCCCTGAGCACACAGAAACCCATAGTTTATCTGCCACCACAAAATACAGTGAAGTATTTTCAGAGTTCAACGCCGTTCGGTGAAGTCCAAAGTAAGGGCAAACCAGGGGAGAAACTGACCAGGGAGCAAGAAGGCGGACACAGACCGCGAGAGCAGACTGCGGCCGCCGACGCCCGGGAACCGCGGGGAGAGCCCCGGGGGGGGGGGGGGAGACTTGGAGTAGACAGAGAGAAAGATACTCTTAAAGAAGGAAAAACCCCGAGACCTGCGGGTCAGTTCAGGTGAGGGGGGAGAAACTGCTTCACATCACTGGCGACACGAGCGGGTCGGGGGACAAACAGGCGGCCTGGGCCGCGCGTCAGCCGCGCAAACGCCAGGGGTGCCGGGGAGCCCCCGGAGGGCCGCTGTGGGGCCGCGCCGGGCGGAAGCTGCACCCAGACCCGGCCGCGGGCACGGGGCATCACCCCCGGCCCCGCGGCCACAGCGGAAAGACGGCGCCCGCGCAGCCGCTGCCGCCCCTCCATCCGAGCCTCGGGCGCGCAGGGCCGGACCCGGGGGCGGCGCCGGGACCCCGGGGACCTGCCCCCCGCGGGGCCGGAGCCACCGGAGCCCCCGGCCCGGCCCGAATGGGGACCACTCCCCGCCGCCGGCGAAGCCCTCCCCGCGCGTCCCGGGAAAAGTTCCCCGTTCTTCACAGAAACGGAGGGCGACGCGACACGACGGTGACGGGCGCACCGCTCCCGCAGCCGCTTACCATCTCGCCGGAGGCCGGCGGCGCGCAGGGCTCGCGGGGACGCGCTCTGCTGGGCCGCGGGGGCGTCCCGGCAGCCGCACAGGTTGGCGCAGACCAGGGTGTAGACGAGGCCGAGCGGGCGCATTGGGCCGGGAGACCCGGGGACCGCGGCGCCGCACGACGAGCCGGGCCTGGGCGCGCTCTGCCTGCACCGCCCGCGCTGGGCCGAGCGGGACGCACAACAGGTTGGCGCGGGCCCGCCCCCTCCGGCGCCCCGCCCCGCCCCGCGCGGGGGACCCGGCCGTCCCCACCTGCCCCCGGCCGCGGCGAGGGGCGGGGCGGCTCCAGGCCCGGGGCTTCCCCACCCGGGGCCGGCTGCTCCACGCACGCCGGGAGGGACTCGTGGCTTGGGGGGCGTGGGGGCTTGGGGATGGGGCCTTGGCGGGGGTGGCCTTGGCGGGGGGGGGAGCTTGGGGAAGAGGCCTGGTGGGGGGGGTTGGGGATGGGGCCCTGGCGGTTGGGGTGGGGGGGCGGGCTTGGGGATGGGGTGAGGGGGACTGGCGGTGGGGAGGCTGGGGCCTGGGGCCTTAGCTGTGGGGGTAGGGGCCTGTTGGTGGCAGGTGGGGGGGCCTTGGGGATGGGACCTTGGCAGTGGGAGCTTGGGGATGGGGCCTGGTGGGAGGCATTGGGGGGCTGGGGCCATGGTAGTGGGGGTTGGGGGGGCCTGGGGATGGGACCTTGGCAGTGGGGGTGAGCCTTGGTGGTGGGGAGTGGCGGGGCTTGAGGATGGGGCGTTGGCGGTGGGAGGGGCGATGGTTGGGCTGGGGGATGGGGCCTTGGCGTTGAGGGGGTGCCTTGGGGATGGGGCCTGCAGTTGAAGTGTCCAGCTTGCCCAGATCAGATCCTACTTAGTGAGGATGTCACCTGGTGAGGCAGCAAGACTGTGCAAGGTTAAGGAGCTCCAGTGGGTGCGACCTTAGCAGAATCAAGGTTATTTCTCAGGGTGGGTGAGGGATGAGCAGGTCCTTAGCTCACAGGCCTCTACCCATGGAGTGTAGTGTACAACCGTGGTCAAGGGTGCTTTAGTATGCCCACCCCGGCCCCTGCACCGAGCCAGGGGCTGGAGGTCAGGATGGGGGTCAGCAGGGGCGCACTGGCAAGGTGAAGTTGGGAGGACATTACATTCTTTTCCTTCGTGGTCCCCAGCAGGAGGCAGGGATGTCAGGCCTTAGGACTTCCCTACTCGCAGTATCTGGAAGCTCAGAGGTCTAGACAGCTGCCTCTGGATTCTAGGAACTTCTGCATCAGCATCTACCTGCCCAGGGTAAGGAACTACCCTCCCCTTGGTAACCAACTATATTTAGAACAGGTATGGTCCAGCCCTGCCACTTGTGAGCTTTGTCACTTTGAGTAAAGCACTTGACCTCTGGAGCCTCAGTGTCTTTACTTAGAAAAGGAAGGCAGCAATTTTCAGTTGTATGGTTTTGGTGAGAATTACATGAAATAATTTTAGTGTATAGCTCTGTAACTGAATTCAAATGCAAACTCATGTAACTACTCAGTGGTTTTCTAGTCCCAGTTTCTAGTCTCGGGGAGGCCTTCTAGTCCCTGGAAGTCTGGGGTGTGAAGAGTGAGTGATTGCCACAGAAAAAGCTAGAAGCAGGTGAGGAGGATAGAAGGTTCTGGAAAAGAGAGCCTTGGCAATTACACCACCCAACACTGGGCCACGATACCTGGGTTCTTTCCATACTCTCAGAGATTCCCGTCATTCACTGCTTGGCATTTTGCCTAAGACGCTGTTTTACGAACTGCAGCTTTGTGCGGTGCGAAGTCAGCTTCCAGAGCAGCATTATTATTCTTTCTATTGAGACTTTATTTTTTTCGAGTAAGTTTCAAGTTCAAAGCAAAATTGAGTGGAGAGTGAAAGATATCCCATATGGGCTCTCCCGCAGTGCATGGGTAGCGTCTGCTGTCATCACAGGGCCCACCAGAGTGGCATATTTGTTACAACGGACGGACGATCACCAGAAGCTTACCTTACTGTACACATAATGGTTACCTATGGTAGACATGATGGCTACGTTATGGTTCATTCTCAGTGGCGTACATTCTACGGGTTTGGACCAATAAGGACACGTACTCATCAGTATGGTATAATGCAGGCTAATTTCACTGCTCTAAAATCCTCTGTTCTCCAGAATTATTGTTTCCATAAATACAATAACTCTGAGATTTAATTAGCAGAGTCCATGGAAGATAATAACATTGTTTTATGAATATCTTGTTTCAAATACAAATATATAAAACATATAAAAGGTATTTCTTTGGCGTATGATCAAAGAAGTTTGAAAATCACTAGAATAAGGCTGATCACATTGTCTCAAAATATCCCTTTAAGAGGCACCCAGGGGAGGCATAAGACTTGGGTTTGCATTCAGTCATGGACTCAGTCGACGAGTATTAATTAAGCGACTGATTTTCCCTTTGCCATGCCCTAGTCTAAAAACCCTGGGGATAAAATACTGAACATGAGAGATAGTCTCTAAGCCCTCAGAGCTTACATTCTAAATGAAGATGGAGAGCATAAATAAGTAAATGTATTATATGTTTTATATTTTGTATATTAATAAAGGAAGAGAGTCAGAGTCCAATAAGATAGGGGCAGGGCTAATTAAAATATATTATGCCATTTTTAAAAAGTAGTTGAAAATGCTCATTAAATTTCAGGCCTATCTCCTGAAATGAGAATATAGGAAAAAATGAAAAAGTGTGCAAGTGGCTTAAGTTAGGACAAGTATCAGATACTGAATTTAAAGTATAGAAGGTAGTGTTGTCCAAGATACTAATACTGTGTACTGGGTAAAGGCATTGTAAATTCATCATGTCGGATAGTTTAGCTGGGAATAGTAAATGACATCACATGGAATGTGCATTTTCTGGATCTTTCATGTCAGTAAACATCCAAAATCAATGATAAAACCAAAAAACTAGGGAGCTGTGCCTCAGCAACTCTTCTGAATCTGGTTTTCAATATTACCTAATAATTAATTCTTGCAATTAGGTTGATTATACCAACTGAGGTGTCATTGTAAACAGACTAGGCACTCAATAAAGATATATTGAGAGACTGCAGAAGGTCAGGTATCAAGATAAAAAGTAAAATGATTCAGTTTACTTTTTACCTATATCTTAAACTAACAGCAAAACATTGAGTTTGACACTACATTTTTGTAAATGCTTATAGGCCAGTTAGAAGAACATGAACCCACACAATGAAACCAGGTTTATAAATATTTATTACTATTCATAATAATAGAAACTAACAATTCTATATCTATCCATTGTTCAATGACCTTCATGTAACTATAAAAGATACTCTACTGTTCACAAACAGTTTTTAAATATGAGAGCAATTTATAATAGGCGTGCAAAGTGCCATTATTCCCAAACACACGTTCCAGCAGTAACGATCCTCTAAAAGGATAGGTTAGGATGTGACACTGTTTTTTATCATATACTCTTCCTAACTTAACCAAAACAGAGAAACGGTCTTTTCCACTACATTTTCAGACATGCTTGGCTTTTTCTCTGACTCATACAAGCCACAGTGGAAAAGGAATGAAATGGGATTTGTCTCATTTCTGCACGTGGCTTATCCTGCAGTATTTTATTTAACTTTACTTCTACAGCCTTTAACTTGTCACTCAGTGCAGGACCTTTGTCTTGACGTTAGTAGCCATGGTACCAAGTCTACTCCTCAAAGAGGACATTGCTGGGTTAGTCTTCGTTCTCCACCCACCGATCTCAGACAAAGCAAAACACTGACATAAAATCCCGATTTCTGCTCTGCCGATGACTACTGGTATTGAACTTGTAAAGGATGCAGATCGGTCCCCATAAAGTGGGAATGTTACACTAGATGACCTTCGAGATTTCTTTTCGAAATCTATTTTGTTTTCTTTGTTAAGCTTTTGCCGTCTGTCTCTCTCTTGCCTTCCCTTTCTCTCTGTGTCTGTGTCTGTCTCTTTCTCTCTCTCTTTCACCACAGTCTATATATGTGGCTTTATCAGGCTCAAATACATTTTGAGTAGTTGTTGGAGATTCTGAGTATATACAAGAATAAAAGTTTTCTGCAAACTTTAAAGGGCAGGTACCTGAAATTTCATTCACTAATGTGTATGCCAGCCCCCCCCCCCCCCCCCTTATCTGCGTTTTCCCTTTCTGCTGTTTCAGTTACCAGAGGTCAGCCGAGGTGCAGAGCCCACGACCCTCCTTCTGATGAGTCTCTGGAAGGTCGGTAGTAGCCCAGCTCTATGTCACCGTGCCTGCAACCCTCACTCACCTCCTATCATGTCATCAGGCAGGCACTTCTCACCTCACCTCCTCACAAGTAGGGTGAGTCCAGCAAGATATTTGAGAGGGCGGCCACATCCCCATAACTTGTATTATTGTTGTTAATTGTTCACTAGTTATTGTTGTTCATCTCTCAATGTGCCTAGCTTATAAATTAAACTTTATCATAGGTATGAACATATAGGGAAAACTGGTACTTATAGACTTCAGTACTACCTGCAGCTTCAGACACCCTCTGGGGGCTTGGGACGTACCCCCTCCAGGTAACGGGGGAGGGCGTACTGTTACAAAGGTTCATTTATCATCCAATCTTAATAGTTACTTGTGCTTTCAAAATTCTATTTTCTTCAAGAAGTCGGTGGTTCTAACGTATAAAAATACAGACAAGGAGAATACATTTTAGTGGTGGAAATAATGGAGGAGATAAAATTATAATTGATAAAAATCACAACAGATTTAGAAAAGAGACAAAATAAACTCTGCTTTAAGACAGTTGGCACAATGATTTCGACTGATGATTTGGCTCAGAAAAACTGGATTAAACTCGGGTTTTTTGTAATTGAATAAAGGATAATGTTTAAATAGTTGGTGCCAAGAAATGAAATTAAATATTCATCAGATGACAAGCCGTGGTAAATTCTCTAAATAGTTCCAAACGATTTAAAGGACTTAGAATACCAGCATGGTTACAGAATATTTTATATCAGGTCTGTGCAAAATGTGCCATTAAATCGTCTACTCATCAACAAGAAGCACATCGTTTTTTAACCCATTCAATGCCTGTCTTTTAACAACTAAGTGTTCCTCTTGTTGTTAAACTCTGTAGTATCTTTAACTGACTCATCTGCTACATGTATCATATTTATCCTTTGATCCTCCTTATTATTAATAGTAGAATATTGTGCAAGGACTTTTAAAGCACTTTTTTTTAATAGTTTATTGTCAAGTTGGTTTCCATATAGCACCCAGTGCTCATCCCCACAAGTGCCCTCCTCCATGCCCATCTCCCCCCTCTCCCCTCCCCCATCAGCCCTCAGTTTGTTCTCAGCATTCAAGAGTCTCTCATGGTTTGTCTCCCTCCCTCTCCCCAACTATTTTCCCTTTCTTCTCACCAACGGTCCTCCATTAAGTTCCTCCTAATCCTCCTATGCGTGCAAACATATGGTATCTGTCCTTCTCTGCCTGACTTATTTCGCTCAGCATAGCACCCTCAAGGTCCATCCACGTTGCTACACATGGCCAGATTTCATTCTTTCTCATTGCCATGGAGTATTCCATGGTATAGATAAACCACATCTTCTTGAGCTGTTCCTCCGTTGATGAACACTTAGGCTCTTTCCATGATTTGGCTATTGTTGAGAGTGCTGCTATGAACATTGGGGTCCATGTGCCCCTATGCATCAGCACTCCTGTATCCCTTAGGTCAATTCCTAGCAGGGTCCTAGAGGGTCCCCTAGGACAATTGCTGGGTCCTAGGGGAGTTCTATTGTTCATTTTTTGAGGAACCTCCACACTCTTTTCCAGAGGGGCTGCACCCGTTTACATTCCCACCAACAGTGGAGGAGGGTGCCCGTTTCTCCACATCCTCGCCAGCATCTAGAGTCCTCTAATTTGCTCATTTTAGCCACTCTGACCGGCATGAGGTGGTATCTCAGTGTGGTTTTGATTTCTATTTCCCTGATGAGGAGGGATGCTGAGCATCGTTTCATGAAAGCACATTTTCTTAAAAGTTTCACATTATCTGTGTTTAAAGAGGGAGGAAATGACTCTGAAAATATGTCTCTTAGGAAGACTGAAACTTAATGATTTACTTTAAAAACAGCATGAATTTATTCGTCTTTCCAATCATTAGCGAGGGACCCCAAGCTCCGAGCATTATTCTTTCTCAACAAGCCACAGTACTGAGTTCTTTCCGCTTAAGTGCTTTAAAATTATCACTGCGGAGTGCCTGAGTGGCTCAGTCGGTTAAGCATCCAACACCGGCTCAGGTCATGATCTCACAGTTCACGAGTTCCAGCCCCGAGTCAGGCGCTGTGCTGACAGCTCGGAGCCTGGAGTCTGTTTCCGATTCTGTGTCTCCCTCTCTGTGCCCCTCCCCCATTCACACTCTGTTCTCTCTCTCTCTCTCTCTCAAATAAATAAACAAAAAATGTTAATTAAAAATAAAATTATAATTCCAGTGGCATATGCTAAATGTATAGGACAACTGTTACCTACTTGGTACACTCAAATCCGAGCCTATTTCTACTTTCTGGCCCTAACTTGAAGACAATGACAGTACATGGCAATTCAGTCACCAGCCCAGGCGTGTTCTATTTATACTAAACTCCTTTACTCTGTATGTAATGTATACGTACAGTCACCACAGGGAGTCTAGATTCCTATGTAGCAATGTCACATACCATTTACCCAGCTGGCATAGTCTGAGCGCCAACTTCCAGATCTGGTCTTTAAGAACTGGGTGTGTTGTGACTTTGTGACAGCTAACAAATTCAGTCCGTCAGTCAGGCAGTCAGTCTTGTCAAACATTGGTTTTCTTTTATTTCATTGAATTACCCAGTGATTCCGCTTAATGGAATGAGTCATTGAGTTAGGAGTCTATCATGGAAAAGAATCGCTACATCTGTAATTTTCCTTCAGTTTAGTTGTATGTTTTATTTCCATTTATCCATTCTTGTGCCCCATTATCTAAATGTAAGCTTTCAAAGATGAATATGTTGCAGGTACTGCAGGATTCCTTCCTTAATTGATCTGGGATGTCTGCCAATCTCCTTTGGAATGCTTGCCTTTTATCTTTATAAGATTGGCTTATATCCACTGAACTGTCATACTTGGACCCCTCCTCTCTTGCCATTTCTCGATCAAGAAATTGGCAGGTCTTCAGTGCCCCTTTCCTTGAGTGAGAATTGTATTTCAATCAAGAAAATATTTTCTTATATTTATGCCCCTTGGAATTCCATATTATACAGTTGTTCTTTTCATTTGGGCCCATTTTGAATTTATTCATGACAATCTTTAAAAATTGTGCGTTTAATCCTTATTCATGACCAGATTCTTTTTTTCTAGCCAACTAATTTAATGCTTCTGATGTGTAAATTTTCTACATTCAAGGAGTTGCTCTTGAGGGGTTGAGACCAAGGCCATCTTTTGTGTTCTAGAATCTCAGTTATCTTTCTGACTTCTCTCTCTACGTTTTTTCTACTAAAGCAAATAACGCTGCACTGTGGAAAAGAAATAAGTATCAAAAGTGTTGCACAAAATCGCTGATACAGTCTATTTTTTAAAAAATGATTATTTATTTATTTTGAGAGAGAGAGCATGAGCAGGGCAGAGGCCGAGACAGAGGGAGAGTGAGAATCCCAAGCAGGCTCCCCATGGTCAGTGCAGAGTGCAATGTGAGGCTCAAACTCACGAACTGTGAGATCATAACCTGAGCCAAAACCGAGAGAGACACCCTCAACCAACTGAGCTCCCCAGGTGCCCCAATACAGTTTACTTTTAATAATCTGACTTGTGATAGAAATAAATCACAGCATTAGACACTAGCCCTAACTTTTCTCTTACATTTTTTTTTCTTTTAAGGGCACAAGCAATTTGTTTCCTGATTAAAGATAGGAAGTGTCCCTCATTTGAAATTTTTAAACATCTACCAAAGTGAGGCTGTTTTGACAAAGTATGGACAATATTTGCCTGTCTCATCAACATAATCTTACAAATACATTTTCTGATTATTTCCGATTAACTAATTAAAGAATCCTGGAGTGACCCTAAGGTTTCATATAATGTGGCGTCTTTGCAAGGTCATGACATGTGTTTCGCGATTATAGTTTTTATGGCTGAGCATAGGCTGCTGTCAAAGCTATGAACAGTCAGCACCAACTCAAGCTGTTTGCTGACCATTTGTGTTTTAGAGTTGGCCGGACTGAAACTGCAGACCTCTCAGGAAGCTTGGAAGGAAGCAGCAGCCTTGGGGACTGGGACAATCAATGAGATGCGATCTCAGAATGGGCTGCACAAAGTGAAACACAATAAAAACTGAATATAGAAAGGATGTGGGACACGATGCCAAAGCAGCAGGTCATTTCAAGGGAACAAAGGCAAAAAAATATTGTCCAGTTTATAGTTCCTTAAGTATCTTGGCTTTCAAATCTGCTCGGGCGCCACACGCAAAGCAGAAACACTAATGTGCATACTGATGAAGCTGCAGCAACAGTGGAGTGTCTGCGCAGAGCCAGTGCCCTAATGATTAGGAAGATGAAAGCGTGGGAGTGAGAGATCTGTGGCAGGGGTGAAGGTTGCAGAGAGACTCAGAGATAATCTGTAAGCACTTGAAGACCTGTTATACGGAAGAGTAAATAAACCCCGCCTCCTCTGTAAATCATGGGAGGGGATTGGTTAGGAGGTACATTCCCACTATTACCCTGTTTAAAAAGCACAAAAAACCTAAATTGACTTGTTTAACCAGAGACTGAATTGTACCTGAAGAAAGAAGTTGTTGTTGTGTTTTGTTTTAATTGCTAAAAGCATTATCATGGGGACTGTGTAAACAGGAGCATTAAAAATGAACTTATTTCACTAAGAAGAAGTTTGGAAGTGCCTTGAAAGCCTTTTCCCAACTCTAGGATATTGTACTTTTATAGTTAGCTCTGCCCCAACAGTATTTCGTTTTTGGACAACAGCCCTATCATATTCAGCACAGCTGGGGATTTTTACTACTTCTATTTCAGGTCCTTTTCAAATGTTCTTTGTTATTAGCAGTGTTGTCTAGACCGCCACAAAGCACACCAGCATTCTGAATACAGCCCGAAGGCATCTGCAGGACAGTCTTCTACTGAGAATAAAAAGTATGCAAATTAATTATCTTCATCTGACCGACATCTTGAATAGTGCGATGACCACACGTATATTTTTCCCTAATGCATTAAAGTTGATGTCATTGTTTTTCTGGTGCAATACTAATTTTACCAAGCCTGGAAAGTTGTTGAATTCCCTTTTGAAGCCAAACAGAACTGCAGAAAATATGAAACCATTAAGGCCAATAAAATCTGGTATAACTTATTTTTCATGTTGTTTTGAAAATACTTGTTCAGCAACTTAAGGCACTAGAATAAAACTGAGGGGCAGTCTCTGAACAGCCAAACTAGGTGTTTCAGAGATCATTCTAGAAAGTCTGTCAGAAGACCTTGGGCCTTAAGTCAGAGCTGGTTTGGTCTTTGTGCATAATTTTAGTCAGGTAAAATATGAGGCTTCTCTATTAAGTAGCAAACTGGAGGCCGGACCGTCAAGAATAATAATATGGCACAATTGAGAGTAAGAGAGGGCTTTAAAAATGTGTACAGGAAGAGCCTGAACTGCAGTACGGGGTCTGTGGTTATTTACTCTACTGGTAAATACCCCCAATACGTCTCTTTGGAGCTCATAGATATCAAAGGGATGTTCCATTAATTGAAACATATAATAATGGTACTAAATTACTATAAATACATTTGAATTCCATTGACTGTATTTTGTTTGTATGCTAAAGTTTTACCTTGTCAACATAATGGAGATTTACTTTTAAGGATTAGATACCACAGGTGCCGGGGGGACTCAGTATGTTGAGCATGTGACCCGATTTCGGCTCAAGTCATGATCCCAGGGTCATGGGATGGAGCCCTGCTCTGGACTCCATGCTGGGCATGGAGCCTACTTGGTATTCTCCTATCTCTCTCTGTCTCTCTCTCTCAAAAAAAAAATCAGATATTAGTATTGTGACATGTATGTATTTGCATACAAGTTAACTCCAATTTAAACCAAAGCAATAGTTGGTTAGCATTTGTACAAACAAATTTTGTCAGAAATCAGCATTGCAGAATTTAAATACTTAGTGCTCACACATCTTTGTCTAAATACACACACGAGGATTTTGCTAATTTGTATAAACAATACTAGAAATTAATTTTCATTTGGAAATGAATATGATCTTATTGGCAGGAAAAGTTGGTGAGACTCCCTTCTGAAATGAGTGAGGTGTAAGAACTGAGCAAGTCGGCGGGTGAATGTCTTTGGTGCAGAGCACAGTCCTGACCAGACCGCACTGGACCTACACTCTCCCGCTGCACAGGTCCCTTGTCTCCTGAACGAGTCACAAGGCCAACGAGTCCTACTTCCAGGACGCCACCGTGTTGACCTCAGAGCAAGTCTGTCCATACAACATGGAATTATCTGTATTAAAATCATACTCAACCTTAGATTTTTAGTGGAGTATCTAAGCAGACTTGCTCTGAGGTCTGCTTGTATGACCTCATACAAGTGGAGTATCTTTAGTGGAGTATCTAAGCAGAACTAGACTGTCCCCAGAGAAGCTGTAAGAACTGGCTATTAGTTTTGTACTTGTTCCTAATAACATTTATCTGTGTGGCATTCCGTTGAAATATAGAAACTGGGGTGGGAAAGGGGCGCGTGGATGACTCAGTCGATTGAGCATCCAACTCTGGCTCATGGTCATGATCTCTTAGGTCATGAGTTGGAGCCCCATGTTGGGCTCTGTGCTGAGAGCTCAGAGCCTGGAGCCTGTTTCGGATTCTGTGTCTCCCTCTCTCTCTGACTCTCCCCTGCTCACGCTGTCTCTATCTCTCTCTCAAAAATAAATAAAACATTAAAAATTTAAAAAAAGAAACTGGGTGGGAAAGTTATAGGGAGGAAGAACATTTAGCTTTCATCTACCTTAACCTATTATATTGGGTAAAAATGGGTCATATTTACCCAATAAGCCCACCATTTGCTTCTTGGCCATAATAGGTCAGTTTACAAAACACACATATGTGATAGAATTGTGTAACCACACTGTATGATAGAAGGCAAATGATATTGTGAATAAATAAAATTCTATTACCTAAAATTTACATTATGACCATCACAAATTTTGATAATACTGGATAAACATGGAATTATCTGTATTAAAATCATACTCAACCTTAGATTTTTAGTAATTTAGAGTTCTGCCAAGCAAAGATAAGACACTACAAAGAAACCCTACAAAGAATATTAAATAACTATAATAATGTCCTTAAAGCACACAGTTTATAACATATTCTATTAAAAATGTTCTATAATCAAACAATTTTCAGAAATGCTACATAACTTGCCAGTCTGAGACAATCACAATATACATCAATATATTATAGCCTCTGAGAAAGTTGTAGCAAAAAGTATCCAGTTTAAGTTTGCTGAATCCAGCATTTCCCCAGCATATAATAATGAATTACAAGGAAATCCAACTTGGACTCACCTTTAAATTCAATTCTGTGATCAATATTTGAGGACGGACACTGATAACTAAACTTGATATTTAACAAGACTACCAGAAAGGTGACGGAGGTGAAAACACTGAGTCCCTAAAACAGAAGACATTGGAGAATACTTGTAAAAATAAGTTTCTGCATAAAATTGTCCTGGGTACGAAAGACAAAACTACTTGGCATACTTGGCAAACAGTATGCCACATACCAGGAATTCTAAGATGCATTTCATTTTCTCATTTATTTATTTATTTATTTATTTTTCTTTTTTCTTTAAGAGAGACAGCATGTGCAGGGGAGGGTCAGAGAGAGAGGGTGTCACAGACTGAAACAGGCTCCAGGCTCTGAGCTGGCAGTCAGCACGGAGCCCGACGCGGGGCTCGAACCCACGAACCGCGAGATCATGACCTAAGCGAAAGTCGGACGCTTAACCGACTAAGCCACCCAGGTGCCCCTCATTTTCTCATTTAAACAGCTCTACAATCTGGATAAGCCCTTGGCTTCTCTCAAACACTTCCGGCCAAGGGCAATCGTAATACGGTTGACGTCACTTGTCGCTTGTGGTAAAAGTAAGAACATCCAAGCATCACACCGTATGGGATGGTGTTCCTGGGTAGAAGAACAATTCAAAGACAGTAGTGGAGCAGGATGTAACCACATGCTACATTATCAACCTTCTCGATGACTCAGAAAATAACATTATATAGAAAAACACAGTTACATCTTTCTCAACCAAAAAATTATTCAGGAGAGTTAGATGCTGAATTGCAACAAGCTTCAGGGATACTTAAACTGACGTACTTTTATTTATGCACAGAAGTAATTTTTAAAATTATGTATGAATAAGTTATGTATGAAAATTATGCATGAAAGCGTTCTTTGAATAAGCATAACATTTCTAAAGATAACAAAGCATTGATTAGTTTAATTAGTAGTTTAATTGACAGCTTTTTTTTTCTTTCTCAAGAGGACACAAAATAAAGGCACATCTTAAGACTCTATCTTAGCTATGTTTAATTATGTTAATTCTCCAGTGGATGCTAGAACTTTAAAATACCCGTCTTGCCATCAAATTTCTCAAAAGAATTCAATAATGTTTTACTAAATAACTTTTACTTTCAGATAGACCTGTGATCAGACTGACCATTTTTAGGAACTCAGAGAGAACTGATCAAATTGAAAGATGTCTATACAATGGCTACAATGGCAATACTTTGCATAAATTATTTACAGCCCAGTAGATTTTCCCCCAATGTGCTGGCTGACACATGATAGGGATAATGGTGGAAACAATAAAGGTGACCAAAAAGTGTGTCAAAGATTTCCTGCCACATGAATCTGCAATTATTTGATAAGCTTTTGGCTGAAAATCTGATGCATGTGTTTCCTTTCTAAAATCTGCGATGAGACTTTTGTCTACACCAAAGCATTAAGTGACCGGAGCTGCTTCCAGATTTTTCTTTTTGTCATTCTTCCTCATCGTCTTGACTGCCGGTTGTGTTACACTTCGGTAGATTTGAAATGCGATAGTAGGAAAGCTATGATCTCAAAAATACATATAGTCTATTTTATTTATTGTACTTATATTCCTCTTTTATAAATCAGCAACTTTAACCTTTTCCTTTCAGCGAGGAGTTATTAAAAATGAAAACCCCACCGTATATTCAGGGAGTTACGCCTCAGTGCAGTAGGACTATAAAATCCATCTTCATCTCTAGGAAATGTAATGAATTAATGTAAGTGCCGTCATAATCTAGTGTTTCGCCCTCCCCACTTCTCTAATAAAAATGCACAGGTAACACTGAGCAACTCAGGCTTGCTCTAAAGAAAATAGGGATTTAAACAGCCGAGCCTCCTCAGGCTGTCGGTGAATTATGGAGGAGGAAAGGCATTTAGGCTGCAAAACATGAGCATTCAAACGTTCATGTCTGTGGAGATGCTACCGTGTTCATGAGCAGTGTCTGAATTAGGTTAATCTCAGCAGGAAGAATATGATGGATTTGTAAAATATTAAGTTATCCTGATTTTCTCACTTTTTCTGGCAGTTTTTTTTCCCACTAACATCAGGTGGCTGATCTTTAGTCTTTATGATTAAAAGTGGGATGAGGTATCATCATAGAGACGCAGACGTCCTTGTCCTCCAAAATTCGCATCACCTCACCATTTTGTCTTTGTTAGGTCATTCCTGTGGATGCATCTGCCCAACAAACGTTTAAGGGGAGACGCTTGGCATCGATTCGCTGCTGCCTTCTCACTGCACACAGGACTTTGCCAGATTGACGTGCCAGTAATTCCATTTGGAAACAATGAGTTGTCCAGATTTTCTGCTGACATTGGCAAACAGTGCCTTGCAGGGCACATTTTAAAAAGCGGGGTTGGAATTTGAGGTTGAACTGTTGACAGACCTGAGGGAAGGGAACTCTGCAGGGTGAGAGAAAGAGGGAGATTTCTGGAGACAAATGACGTAACAACTGCAGAGATCAAGTCCTCTTTCCATTAGAAAAGCTTTAGGAGACGTGCACACGTAGGTTAAGTGATGAGACACAATGGCTAAATGGCACAACAAAGTCGGATATATATGACGTACACCTTGGGGGGATGGTGCGTCATAATAGGACCCGGGAGTGTTTCAGAGACAACACGGATGACTGCACGTGAAGCCGTGTGCTATACCATTGGTATGAAAAGGTAGAGCATCGTTTATGGAAAAAAGCCCAGGAAGGGGGCAGATGGAGGAGAGTCAGAGGACGATCTCAGCCTGCTAACCCAAAGAACACTTAGCTCATCTGTGGACGGGGAAAATAGCATTACATTACAGGGTGATTGTATTGGTGCCTGTCACATGGAAGATGCCACAAAAGTAAAGACTACCATTTTTGTAGTAAAAGAAGTTAAACAGTCCAAACAATATTAGGGTGGAAAGCAGAGCACTCTTTTGGGGGGCGTCACATAAAGGCATTTGGTGTATGCTTACTTCCGGGGAAAAGAGATTGGAAGATATAAAGGAGAAAATGTAAGAGGTAAATTGGATGGATTGCAGGGCCCAAGGAATTAAATATCTGTTTGTTAAGTCATCCAACCAGGATTTATAGAATATCTGCTATGTGCCCGGCATTGTTCTAGCTGTTAGGGATATGACAATAAACTAAACACTCCAAGACCAGCAGTCACCTGTAGTTGGTCCTGGTAAATACCTACCAAGTTAGAATAAGAGCTAAGAGCAGAAAACAAGGCACGGGGTTGGTGAGAAGTGTCAAGAGTTTATGATGGTCGGGGGTGGGGGGTGGGACTGTTGACATTTTAGACAAATTAGCCAAGAAAGGTTTTTCTGGGAAAGTGACTTTTTAAGTAAAAAGCTGAAGGAAGTGAGACAGCAAAGCAGGCCCATATCTGAAGGAAGCATGTTCCACAGAGGAACCAGCAGCTGCAAACACCCTGTGGCAGAACGCCCCGCCATGCCATGTCCCCAGAACTTGTAAGCGGGCCAGTGGGCTGGAGCAGAAGGAGTAAGTGGGGTGTCTGTGGACAAGGAGTGGCCTTGGGGGCAGATCGTTGAAGGGCTTTGAGGGGGGCATCACACGGACCTTGGCTTTTCCTCTGTGAGATAAGAAGTCTTTGGGTTTTGAGCACCGACACGCTCTGACTTACATTTTAACAAGTGCATTCTGGCTGCTGAAGTCAGAATGGCTGAGAAAAGGGAGGCAGGTGTGAGAGGAAGGAGGTCAGTGAGGACGCTTTGAATCTCACAGGTGACAATCAGTGGTGAGTGCTGGAGCTGGGGGTGGTCGGCAGTGTACAGATTATAAATATATTTTTAAGTAGAACCAATGGGATTTGTTAGTGGATTGAATGCAGGGTATGAGGGAAAGGGGAGAGTTGAACATAATTCCAAGAAGTAGTTGGATATACAAGCCGTGAGATGGATGAGATTACTTAGGGAGTGATTTTGATGGGAAACAGAAAATACCCGAAGATTGAGTCCTGTGAGTATCAACCTGGAGAGGGTGGGGAGTTAAGTAGGAGCCAACAAAGACTACTGAGAAGTGGCCAAAGCCCTGAGAGGAAAAGATGCTAATGTGTGTTCTGCAAGCCAAGTGAAGATGTCTCATACTAACTAGTATATGGAATAGAAAAGTAATGGGACAGTAAAAAGAGACAGCGAGACATCTAAGAACGTTTTTTACAAATTGAAGGAAAATGTGTATGTTCCCCTGTGGAAAACAGTGGTGGGAAGGCCTCATTAGAAGAAATTAACCAGAAAGAACAGTAAAGCTGTAGCAGTTCTTCAAGGCAGAGTAGTGCTGACCGTCAGCACCAGAATCACCTGAGATGTTCGTTAAAACATGCAGGTCCCAGGGCGCCCGGGTGGCTCAGTCGGGTGAGCATCTGACTTTTGGTTTCGGCTCAGGTCATGACCTCATGGTTTGTGAGTTTGAGCCCCTCCGTTGGGATCTGTGCTGACAGTGTGGAGCCTGTTTGGGATTCTCTTTCTCCCTCTCTCTGCCCCTCCCCCTGCTCGCTCGCTCGCTCTCTCTCTCAAAACAAAAACTTGCAAGTCCCTGAATTAGAATTTTTCATGGCACACTAGGAATTTGTATCTTCAGAAAGTTCTACCAATGATTCTTATACACAGTACTAAGAGTAACGAAAATTTAAAGTAGGGTAATAGATTCCCAGGAACAGTTCAAAGAGTTATCTGTACGTGTGCAAATGTAGGTTGTAAATATAGAGACAAGCTCATCAGTTTCAGGCTCCCAGACTCACGATCTACATGTTTATCAAAGAACAGGATTAAGTTACAGCCACGCAGGGGAGAAATGTACTGCTTTACTTTCAAACTTAATATCCTTTCTCCCCAAATATATTAGAAAACTCAAATTGGCAACATTTTTCCTTTTCACTTCATGCTCTGTGGGGGAGGAATTGAAAATTGAAATTTGCAAGGCCTCCTGTGGGTTTGCGTCTGCCTCCAAGGCACACTTAGACAGCAAGTACAGTACAGCTCCGCATTACATTGCTCACTATTCCATCGACGCAGTGAAGCTGCATGTCAGAAAGGAGCTCCCCTTCCTTCATACATGTGCAGTACACGCACACATGCACACACAACATACACACACACGTACACTTGGTATACAAGTAGTGTCTGCAAACCCTATGATAGAATTTCATGTTGGGCTTATGGAAATCCATTTTAGTGCTTCATGGGTAATTTCAGTTGCTCACATGTCAAAGCAAGTTTCTACCCTAATCTTGAGGGTCCTGGGAGATCTCAACTCTGATGGAGCTGATCAAGTACTGGCTGTCCATGAGAGGTCCTCCTCTGCACAAGAGCACGAAGAACCATTGTGTCGATTCCTGGTTCAATAAACTCTGATTATGTTTGGGAAAAGTGGAAGGGATGAAGGGAAACGGGTGATGTCCATAATCAAAAGTAAGAAGTGTAACAAGAGCCTCTAATAATCATCTTGTGCTTTCTATATTCCAAATACTGTCTCCTATATTTTACATTCATTGTCTCCTTTTATCGTTTCAGTTCTGGTAGGTAGAATAGATGAAGAAGCTGAAGCTCATTGACCCAGAGTTAAAAAGTGACCAAATTAGAATGATATACAGCTCTGTGAGATGGTAACTTCTATTTTTCCACTTTGCCACCCATGCTTTTTTGGAATTCAGCATTACTACTGGAAGTGCTGAATTGTTCTATAGATCCTGCGTCATAGTCATATGTGCTACACCATGTGTATGCCCGCATGTTAACTGTGCAGGAAATACCTACGAGGTGTGTCATGGCTGAAATAACTATGGTGAGCTACCAATCTGAAGAGTCTCAAGGTCTAAGCTAAGAGCAACCTACTGTTGTGCAGGAATTCAAATATACAGAACCACAGGGAAATGAGAGGTGTAGTGTCCTTACAGATAGATTTCTCCTGCTGACTGCCTCTGGGCATCCACTCTGACCTCTACCCACACTCTAGGCTCTCCGTCACCCCCTCTTCTTCTCATAAAGGATGGATGGTTACCAGCTATGCTGGAAATTCCTCTCCTGGCTGAACTTGGCCTCAAAATGGATACTCTGAAGAGTTAGTAGCCAGCTCACTGTATCTTAAGCCTCAGTTATTGCTTCCTTTCTTCTATGTGCTTGATTCTATCCACAGATGGTTACATTGCCAACTGAAGCTTTCTCTCTCACTAGGGGTAGATTTTTTCCCTACACGTTAGAGGTTCCCCCCAGGCATTTGTTCCTTCTTCTGATGTATCTCTGTTGCCCAGACATTGGAAATGCTACTGTTAGGCTCGAGGAGGGGTTCTGGGATATAGGAAAATGGACCGAGAATTCAGAGATGGAGGTTAGGTGTAAGTGATGAATCACTAAATTCTACTCCTGCAACCAATACTACACTATATGTACACTAGAATTTAAATAAAATCTTGGGGAAAAAAATAGATGGAGGCCTTAGTCTCACTGCTGCCATTAACTCCTTGTTGGGTTCGTGGAAGGTTTTCTATGTCTCTTCTCGGTCTCATCATATTCAAAACAAAGTCTTTTAACGATCTCTCTGTCCTTTCCCTAACATCCCATCTCTCTGTGATGGTTCTTTTCAAAAATACATCCAGAGAACTCTGTTTCCCTTGCCTTAGTTCTGTCTATAGCCAAAGAAGGTGTACATACAGTTTACTCTGGGGATGACCCATCAGAAACCACTTCATAAAGAGCAAGACGTTTTTCAGGCAAGCTTACTTTTCTTAATAACCTTTGACTGTATAAGAGTGACACTTTGGTGCAGGACAAAATGGAAAACACAGGGCATATAAAGAGGAAGATCGAAATCACATAGAATTTTTCAACACAGTGATATTCACTACTTACTTCTCAATGTTCCTGCTTCCTTGCTTCTTTTCTTTGTTTTCTCACTAAAATTAAGGCCATTTTTTCTTTTGCATACTGCTTTTCTCCCTTCAATATATTATCCTTAGTATTTAATTTCATTAAGTAGTATGAACATATATTTTACTTCTGCATGAATTCCCATGTTAGTGTCCTAACCACACTAACACAATAACCTCTGTGGTGATACACTGGTTTGTTTTCAATATTGCATTGTTTTGAATTATAACATATGAATGTGTGCATATATATGTGCAATGATTTCATCAACAACATACATTTCTGGAATTGGAATTACTGGTCAGATGTTACAAATATTTGTCCACAGGAGCTGGACCCTCTTTCTTTCCAGCCACCTTTCCTGTCTTACTCGGTTCCAGCCACATGCACTTCGCAGCTGTTACATCGGGCACAGGTCATTTCTCTCTCAGAGACCCCGACAGCACTGTTGGTTTCCTCTGCCCTCAGGGCATCGCTGTCTCCAGTTCTCCAAGCTCACTCTCTTCCTCCATCTGTGTGGCTCCAGTGTCACCTTCTCAGAGCTTTCCGTGTGCCTGTGGTCCCGGATAGTGTCTCCCCCCTGCCATTCTCTACCTGCTCCCCTGCTTTTGTCTACCATTCTTTTGCCACCTAAAATCATGCTGTTTATTTGTGTAACTGCCTCCTGTGTACTTTTTTACTGTCCACCTTCCCCTTAGATTAGAAGCTTCCTGAGTGAAGTGTCGCTATCTCTTCCCTTCTGGTATGAATTCCTACCACCTAGAACCCTGTCTAGCATACGCTAGTTGCTTACTTAGTATTCTTCCAGAGAATTATCTGAATTTGCCATTTACCCATTTGTCTTAGTCCGGGCTGCTATGCTAGAAATAACCCAGTCTGGGTGGCTTGTTAGCACCAGAGACTTATTTCCCACAGTCCTGGAGTCTGGGGAGTCCCAGATCCGGGCACCGGCAGACTCCGCATCTGATGAGGGTCCTTTCCCGGTTCATGCATAGCCACCTTCTCACCCTGTCCACGCAGGTCAGGCGGACTGAGAGGGCAGTCTGTCAGCTCCTTTATAAAAGGGCATTGCTGCCATGATGAGGGCTCTGTGAGCACGTCCCGAAGGCCCCGCCTCTAATACCACCACACTGGAGTTTAGGATCTCAGCAAAGGAATTTTTAGGAAACAAATATATTCAGTTCATAGCATCTTCTTTCTTTTTGGATGTTTCTCTTTTCATTGTAGAGAATATTGCAACAGAATAAGACCCCTAACCTTATTAATATAATATATATGTAATTATACACACACACACACACACACACACACACCTCCCATAGTTTTACTACTTAGTTGTTTGCCATTTTAGAGTGAAGAGTGGAGGAATTAAACATTTGTACGGAAGTTCAAAATTTTCCCGAAGTCATATTTATAAAGCTGTCATTTTATGGTTCCCTTCTATAATATTATACTCCTAAAGTCTCTCTGCAGCCCAGTAACTGACAAATATTCACATATTATTTCTTCCAGTTTCTTTATTTTTATTGCTTCATTCTCAAATTCTGGGATTTATTTTGATGTATGTCATTTGTCTTATCTCCCTTCTTTAAATTGAATACAATGAAACTCGGAAAGAATTTTAATAAAATTTTTACCAACGTAGAGTTTCTGCTGTGGATATGTCCCTGGCTAAATTAGAGCCAAGGACTGCAGTTTGGAAATTTCTTTTTCTTAGGCTTAGCGAGTCTGCTACTGATTACAGACATACTCGTGTCTCACACGGCAGCCCCTGGAGCCATTCTGATAGGAATGCAGGGCCAGCAGTCACCTACAAGATTTAACTTGAAAAGCAGTGAAAACATTGCTGCTGTTCCTGGGAAAGCGTTTGAATGTCGTTCTTTCTGCTTGAAGGTGACGCCCTACATGCTACTAGTTTTGCATATGTGATCTCACTTCATGAGTTAAGATATTCATCCCATGTTACAGGTTTTACAGACGAAGACACTGAGGCTCTAATGGGTTAACTCACATTCCCAAGGTTGTATGGAGAGCAGAATTGTGCTGTGCCTGATAACAAAGCCAGTGATGAAAACTGCAATTAAATGTTTGCAGGACCATGTGAGCATGTACTGAGCTAAGTCTGTCACACGGCCCGTTCTGTTGCGTACTCACAACAACCGATGACACCTGGTTGATAGGTAAGGTGATTAAGATTTAGACACTTGCTCAAGCCCGCACAACTACTAAGCTACACTGCTGCTTCTTTTTGTTTGTTTTTCTTTGAAGATTTTACTTAAATTCAAGTTAGCTAACATATAGAATGTATTGGTTTCAGAAGTAGAATTCATTGGTTCATCGGTTAGATATGAAACCCAGCGCTCAACCCAACAGGTGCCCTCCTCAATGCCCATCCCCCATCTACCCCATCCCCTGCCCTCCTCCCTCCATTAATCCTCGGCTTGTTCTCCATCATTAAGAGTCTCCTGTGGTATGTTTCCCTTTCTGTCTCCCTCCCCTTCCCATATGTTCATCTGTTTTGTTCCTTAAATCCCACATATGAGTAAAATCATATAGTATTTGTCTTCCTCTGGCTGACTTATTTTGCTTATCATAATACCATCTAGTTCCATACATGTCACTGCAAAAAGCAAGATTTTATTCTTTTTGATCACTAATATTCCATTGTGTACATATACACCACATCTTCCTTATCCATTCATCAGTTGATGGAGATTTGAGCTCTTTTCATTTACCAACACTTGGCTATTGTGGATAGTGCCATTATAAACACTGAGGTGCATGTGCCCCTTCAAAGCGCTATTTTGTATTCTTTGGATAAATATCTAGTAGTGCAATCACTAGGTCTTAGGGTAGTTCTACTTTGAACTTTTTGAGGAACCTCCATACTGTTTTCCGAGTGGCTGCAGCAGTCTGCATTCCCACCAACAGTGCAAGATGGTTCTCCTTTCCCTACATCCTCACCAACACTTGTTGTTTCCTGAGTTGTTCATTTTAGTCATTCTGAGAGGTGTGAGGTGGTATCTCATTGTGGTTTGGATTGTGTATCTCCCTGATGATGCGGAACCTCTTTTCGTGTGTCTGTCGGCCATCTGGATGCCTTCTCTGGAAAAGTGTCTATTCGTGTCTCCTGGTCATTTCTTTACTATATTATTTATTTTGAAGGTATTGAGTTCGATAAGTTATTTATAGATTCTGGATGCTAGTCTTTTATCCAATATGTCATTTTCGAATATCTTCTCCCATTCAATAAGTTGCCTTTTAGTTTTGTTGATTGTTTTCTTGGCTGTGCAGAAGCATTTATCTTGACAAAGTTCCAATAGTTGATTTTTGCTTTTATGTCCCTGTCTAGTAAGAAGTTGCTACGGCCAAGGTCAAAGAGCTTGCTGCAGTCACTAGGATTTTGATGGCTTCCTGTCTCACATTTAGGACTTTCATCCATTTTGAGTTTGTTTTTGTGTATGGTGTAAGAAAGTGGTCCAGTTTCATTCTCTGCATGTTGCCATCCAGTTTTTCTAACACTATTAGCTGAAGAGACTATCTTTTTCCCATTGGATATTCTTTCCTGCTTTGTCAAAGATTAGTTGGCCATATGTTTGTGGGTCCATTTCTGGGTTTTCTCTTCTGTTCCACTGATCTTTGTGTCTGTTTTTGTGCCAGTACCATATTGTCTTGATGATTACAGCTTCATAATACATCCTGAAGTCTGGGATTGGGATCCCTCCAGCTTTGGTTTTCTTTTTCAAAATTACATTGCTATTGAGGTCTTTTCTGGTAACAATAAATATTCTTCCTATCCAGGAACATGGAATATTTTTCCATTTCTTTTACCTTCTTCGATTTCTTTCATAAGTGTTCTATCATTTTCAGAATATAGATTTTTTACCTCTTTTGTTAGGTTTACTCATAGATATCTTATTGGTTTTGGTGCAATTATAAATGAGATGGGTTCCTTGATTTCTCTTTCTGCTGCTTTGTTATTGCTGTATAGAAATGCAACAGATTTCTGTACATTGGTTTTATATCCTGCAAATTTGCTAAGTTCATGTATCAGATCCAGTAGTTTTTTGGTGGAGTCTTCTCAGGTTTTCTCCATAGAGTATCCTGTCATCTGCAAAGAGTAAAAATTTGACTTCTTTCTTGCCAATTTGGATGCCTTTTAATTTCTCTTTGTTGTCTGATTGCTGAGGCAAGGACTTTCGGTCCTATGTTGAACAACAGTGGTAAGAGTGGACATCCCTGTCATGTTCCCAATCTTAAGGGTAAAGCTCTCAGTTTTTCCCCACTGAGGATGATATTAGTTGTGCATCTTTTGTATGTGGCCAGAATGGATCACATATTGGGTGACAAATCAGGCCTCAACCAGTACAAAAAGATTGAGATCATAACCTTGCATATTTTCAGACCACAACACTACAAAGCTTAAAGTCAGCCACAAGAAAAAATTTGGAAAGACCACAAATACATGGAGGTTAGAGAACATCCTACTAAAGAATGAGTGGGTTAACCAGAAATTTAAAGAAGAAATAAACAATACATGGAAGCAAATGAAAATGAAAACACAACAGTTTAAAACCTATTGGATGTGGCAAGGGCAGTCCTAAGAGGGAAGTGTATAACAATGCAGGACTTACTCAAGAAGCAAGAAAAGTCCCAAACATACGATGTAATCTTACACTTACAGGAGCTGGAAGAAGAACAGCAAATAAAGCCCAAAACTATCAGAAGAAGGGAAATAATAAAGACTAGAGCACAAATAAATAATACAGAAATTTTTAAAAAAAGAACAGATCAAGGAAATTAGGGGCTGGTTCTTTGAAAGAACTAACAAAATTGATAAACCCTTAACCAGACTTATCAAAAAGGAAAGAGAAAGGACCCAAAGAAATAAAATCAAGAATAAAAGAGGAGAGATCACAACCAACACCACAGAATACAAATGACAATAAGAGAATATTATGAGCAATTATATGCCAATAAAATGGACAATCTGGAAGAGATGTATAAATTCCTAGAAATGTATAAACTACCAAAACTGAAACAGGAAGAAAGGGAAAATTTGAACAGACCCATAACCAGTAAAGAAATCTAATCAGTAATCAAAAATTTCCCAACAAACAAGAGTCCAGGGCCAGATGACTTTCCAGGGGAATTCTACCAAACATTTAAAGAAGAGTTAACACCTATTCTTCTGAAACTGTTCCAAAAAATAGAAATGGAAGGAAAACTTCTAAACTCATTTTATGAGGCCAGCACTAACTTGATTCTAAAACTACACAAAGACCTCACTAAAAAGAATTACAGGCCAATATTCCTAATGAACACGGATATAAAAATTCTCAAGAAAATACTAATAAATCAAATCCAACAGTACATTAGAAGAATTACCACGGTCATGTGGGATTTATTCCTGGGCTACGGGGTGGTTCAATATCTGCAAATCAATCAATGCGATACATCACATTAATAAAAGAAAGGATAAGATCCATATGATCCTCTCAGTAGATGCAGAAAAAGGATTTGGCAGGGGTGCCTGGGAGGCTCAGTGGGTTAAGTATCCTTCGACTATTGGTTTCGGTTCAGGTCATGATCTAGAGGTCATGGGATCGAGCCCTGTCACGCTCTGTGCTGAGGGTAGAGCCTTCTTGGGATTCTCTCTCCCTGTCTTTCTCAGCCCGTCCTTTGCTTGTTCTCTCTGAAAATAAACAAACATAATAAAAGAAAAATTATTTGACAAAATACAGCATTCTTTCTTGATAAAAACCCTCAAGAATAGGATATCCTCAAGTAGGATAGAAGGAATTTACCTTATATGCTGCATTGATTCTAACAGTACTGTTTCACAATGCCCTCGTCCTTTGGGCAAAAGTGATTTTAGTGAAGGATCTGTATAAGCTACAGTAGGCAAACTCTTATAACACTGAGACCCTCAAATTTATAATGGCTCACACTCAATTAAGGTGCTATAAAAAACTCAATATGTCCATCTTAAACAATCACTCATTTTACAAAGTTGCACATAACAGTATGTCTTAGAGAAACAGAGTTGGGAAAGACCCTTTGAAGCCTAGGGAACTTCATGACTAGACTGTTCTAAACAGAACACTAAAAACAAGAAGAAAAAATATTAGTAGATAAAAGACATGTTTCCAACTACATGACATCCTGAAAAGGGAAAACTATAGAAACAGTAAAAATATCAGCATCTCCCAGAGGTAAGGGTGAGATGAATAGGTTGGAATGTAAGGATTTTTTTCAGCAGTTCTCAATGACATTACAGTGGTGGATACATGTCACATACGTTTGTCAAAAACCACAGAATGTTGAGTGGGAACCTTTGTGTAAAGTATAGACTCTGGATGATAATGATGTGTCATCATACATTCATCAATGGTGACAAAAGTACCCATCTGATGGAGGTGTTGATAGTGGGTGGAGTCTATGTACATGGTACAGATGGCCAGGGGTATATGGGATCTCTGTACTTTCTACTCAGTTTTGCTGTGAATCTAAAACTTTACTAAAAAATACACTTAGTTTTTTTTGTGTGTGTGTGTTTTTTTTAAAAGAACATGTTACACTTCTAATAAATCAGAAAGTACTTGGAAGGTACTTTTGAAAAAGTGGGAGAATACAGGTAGAAGAGTATGATGAAGAACTGAGCTTCCGTGTCATGGAGACCAAAGATGAAGGAGGCCACCCAAGGCTTGTGATATAGAGCAGGTGACCCAACTTAGGGCACACGTGGACTGGATAAAAGTCACAGTTCCAGGTTGTTCTGTGATTCTGTTCAGCCATGTTAGTGGAGCTAGTGCTCTATAGCTGTGTTTCATAGTACAAACCAGGAACATGTGGGAAAAATCACATACAGAGACATCATCCAGGCCTGATTTTCATAATTTTCCCATGCAGTAACCTTTTACGAGCTAGTCCATCACAGTGGGACAGACTTGAGTGGTCTGTTCCTCCCCCCAACCAGCAGTATCATCCCAGTGAACAGTTCAGTTCATAGGGTGTCCTGCTCCATCCAGTTTTTCAGAAAGAGAGACTTAGGGACACTTTCAGGGGAACCTTGGAGTGATCTCCATTTCAAACAACCTAGAGGCAAAAGAGCTCTGAGAAGCCTTTGTAAAAGATTTTCCTGGGTCAATCTTCTCTCTCATATTGCACTGTCTGGAATTTAGTCTTATAGGCCCACATAATGAGACGGAACCCAAGAAATGAGGTCAACCCTCCAGCCATGTACCCAAGAAGATGAAGAGAGCATGGATTTAGGGGCCACTGGCAATATTTTTTTGCCATAAAACTGATTTTATTGCAAAGCCTAAATCAGACGACTGGACTTGCTGCTCTGCAAATACGGGCTTTCCCAAAAAGGTCTATTACAGAATCACTTGCTTTGTAAAGAGATGGCGATAACATTAAAAGCTCATATTCTTAGAAGAGTCAATCATGAACATTTACGCTGTATACTGATGGCAAGAATTTAATGCCTAATGTAAACAA